TGGATCAGGCCCTCTGAATAGGTGAGACAGTTGATTGGCTTGATCAGTTTGGGAGGCAACTAGGCAGTGGGACCAAGTCCTGTGCTCATTGCATGAGTTGGCTGTTTGAAACCTGGAGCTTATGCAGGGACACTTGGCTCAGGCTGGGAGGAAGGGACTGGACCTGCCTGGACTGTGTCTACCAGGTTGATCGCAGTCCTCAGGGGAGGATTTGCCCTGGAGGAGGTGTAAATGGGGGGTGTGCTGGGGGTAAGGGGAGGGTGTGGGAGGGGGGAGAACAGGGGACCCATGGCTGATATGTAGAACTGAATGGAATTGTAAAATAAAATAAATTTAATTTAAAAAAAGGAAAAAAAATGTTACTATACAAGAAATTGTTGATGGGAATTTTTCAGCATCTAAACATCAGTTTCTAAACTGAGCCAGGTGAAGACTATCAGTCAAAAAGAGGAAGCCCTGTTACAAGACAAATTCTGTATATACCACCATAGACACACAGTGAACTACAATATTCATGTTGCTGTCATGTTAAGGATCTAACTTCAACCGATATAGTTTTTCAAAACATATTTATTTACGTTTTTTGAGTCTGAGCCTTATTCTGTAGCACAGCCTGGACTGGAACTCAGCTTCCTAATTGCCAGGTTTACACAGATGCATTCCTGTGCTCAGCTATGGCTTCTTGGGGTCTTGCTGTTACTTGTTCTAGCGTATGTCTGTTTATATTTGGTTTCATTCTTTCTCTTCTAATTTTATAAGCATTACTGTATAATAGATGCAGAGCAGAATTAAAACAACAGGTTCTTATAGTTGTTTTCTATATATTTATAATTTCATTTCAGTTTTCCTCGTTGGTTCTCAAAGAGAGAAGGTATGACCTCTGTCAAGTCTTGTCTAGGAGGAAGGAGTGAGCAGCAGTTCAGCTTGTGAAAGGAGCTAACAGAAGTGGTGGTTGTTGCTGCTGCTGCTGCTGCTGCTGCTTTGGTGTAGCTGCTGATATTGTTGTTGTTCCTGCTGTTGTTGTAGCTGTGGTTGTAGCTGTTGTTCTTGTTGTTGTAGCTGCTATTACTGTTGTTGCTGCCTCTGTTGTTGTTGCTGCTGTTGCTCTTCAGGTTCAAGAGTAGGCCCAGACCCACACCTCTTCTTGTTTGTGCCCAGGCCTCTTCAGGGTTGGGGATAGGCCCAGGCCCACATCTCTTTTTTCAGCCTGGGCCTCTTTAAGTTTATAGATAGGTATAGGACCTATCTATACATTTCTTCTTCTTTTGGCTTGGGACTCTTCAGGTTTTAGGGTAGCCCTGGCCCACATCTCTCCTCATTTTGGGCCCAGGCCAAATATAACAATAGGCTTCATTGTTAGGAATCATCTCAGCACCACATTACTTTTTGCAATCCTCTCAGCCTTTCAGGGTCAGGCTCAGGCCCACTCACACTATTTTTTTAAGTGACAAAAGCTTCTTTCAATTGAGCTGCTGGGACATGCCTACATATCTTACCATTGAGGGTCTGGCCATCCTCTGGGTCACACCAGTTTCTTTACAGCTGATGGAGTGGAACACTCTGAGTTCTTGGAGGTCAAAACATATGTTTACATTAGTGTTCATATATGGTCATCATTTCTGAAAAAAAAGAGAAAAAACAAAACAATAAATAGACTTGTGGGTAATTATAGAGGATAATATTGGTGTTCTTTTATGGCATGTCATTGATCTGTCCTCAGGGAAACATGCACAGACACAGACATCTATAGCCCACCATCCAGATGATACAAATTTACATTATACAAATAGAAAGATGAAATATATGGGGAATAAAGAGAGTTAGAAAAGACCTTCTTGTTGCACAGCTCACTGGCCATGTGGTGGAGAGTGCCCATGAACTCATGTGGAATATTTGGTGCTTCTGAGTTGTGAGACCCACAAGAGAGTCCCAACAAGACATCTTGCTGCATTTTCTTCCTGTGGTACCCTCCCATGAAGGAATATCACAGGTAGTTACAATAGACGGTAGTCCTCTATGTGTAGTGGGTAGCCATTCCAGCTTGGATCTGGAAGCTCCAACCCCCATTGAGACTCTGGCAACTGTCACGCCTACGAGGCGGGGCGAGGGGAGGTGCTGGAAACCTGAGAGCTGGATGGGCAAGCGCTCGCTCTGGGCGCGCTCTCTGCGCCTGGACCCTGGATGGTGGAGATTGATTTCCAGAGAACACCGCTGGATTGCTATACGCCTTCCCCAGACCCCCCCGCGACCTATCCATTCCTTCATTTGTAAGTCATCCACTAAATAAATCTTCCTTTTAACTACG